ATACCTACGTGCCGGTCGACACGCTGCCGATGGCCGCGCTCGCGTTAGCTATTCATATATATATACACAACTCGGGTATGCGCTCATAGTTGGTGAGCCCCAGGGTTTCTTTTTTTTTTTTTTTTTTTTTTTTAAACCTCTGCACATACCGAAGATTCGAACCGGCCGCCTCTCTCGACTATCACGGAGACTCTGGCGCTTTACCAACTGAGCTACTACGCGACTGTGCGCGCCCGTGTGTAACGTCGGGCATCAAGTAAGGACTCTCACTTTGCCGCACTCGAGAAACTAACATATTAGCTCTCTCTCTGGACTCCTTTGAAGTGCGTACATTTTTGTATTACGGCGAATAAATTTATTTTTGCGCGTGTTTTCAATTTAGCGAGTTTTTTTTTTTTGTTGAAATAATAATAGTAAGTCACACGCCCAAATGAAGAAGCTTTAATACATGTAAATAAAAAAAGTTTGACATAGCGCATACCACATGTGCTTATTATACATTGCGGTATGCACACGCACCAAGAGGAAAAGAAAGTAGATATACTTATTCACCTTATGCAGATGCACCTCCTCGCGCATCAGGTGCGCGAACAAAGGGAAAAATATGTGTTGTTGTAAGTAGTATGCGAGGTAGTATGGTAGACAACAGGTCGATTCGCAAACTTACGCGCGCGCATGCAATTTACGTAAGCGCGAACGGGGCGGTAAAGAAGGTGAGGGGGAGGGGGGGAAGCAGCAATCGGCTGGCCTTTACAAGTGTATATAGGTATATCTCCTTCTCTTGGTACATAACGTCATTGTTCTCGCTCTCCTGGTTATGGATTCGTCGCGACTAGACATCAACTCATCTACTGCGCGTGTATTTTGTAATTTGGCCCAACTCATACTACGAATTTTGAACAAAAAAAAATTATTCAATGTTACTATAAAGAAAAAAAAAAATTTAAGACCACCAATCGATCGATCGAAAGGCCGATAGACGCGTTATATGCAACCAACAAGTACCTATATAATAAAATACGACATTATTGCATGTGTGATCTAAGTAATCAAGTATTTGGGCATCGACGCGTTTGCTCGAGAAATTTTGTATTTATCTCCGTCTTCGGCAGTTCTACGTGCAAGTATATTATACGTATATAGGTATACTAATCAATCGTAGCCATGTACATGAGTACTATTCCCATTCACTAACTATGACTCATGAAAACATTCCGCAACTATGCGAAACCACACGATGGATGACTTTAACTTGAATCAAGTGACACGTTGCTACCAATGCTGGGTTTCACAAACCCATATATACACACAGAACGGCCATCGATGATGGCACGTGGCTGGCACGACGAGATTGGTAAACAAAGAGAACATTATAGGATGTTACGGATTCGCTGCGGGTTGAGAGTATTATCGTTGGAATGAGGATATTTTTTTTATTTAAAATTATGTATACAGGGACTAAGATCGAGGACAACAAGGGGTGACGTGAGCTCTATGACGTGATCTAGTTGGATCATCAGAGTGAAAAAAAATTACCGTAACGAAGATCAAAGAATCATTTTTTTCCCAATAATCTAGAGGACGAGCCTTGAATAAAAATTAACATTAAAAAAAAAAGAAAAAAAAAATTAACTTCGTGATCGCTACAAGGAACCTACTTTTCTTTTATCTCGCGTCAAAACAACAAACAGAAAAAATTATAGTCACAGTTTGCTGCTTCACAGTGACATACTAATAAACCTAAAAAAAAAAAAAAGAAAAAAAAACCACTAGTTGATAATACCTGTACGTTATCATTATGCGCAGGCGATCATTAACTCCTGACATAATGTAGGATTTACCAACTGGTGTTATAGTGATGCTAATACGCATAATACCCGTAATGCTCGGCTGGAAGCTTCTTTATCTCAATACCTCTCTCTCGCTCCAGGATCACTATGTGTGCGTACACAATCAAGTTAATTATCATTCTTCGCGGAACTACACCTTTCTACTGTGAAGAAAAAAAAAATACAACCTCGATTACCAATACCTGAACGCATTAGCATGGACTGCAATCGTATGCGTTGGCATCAGCACGTGGCGTGTGAAAAAAAGGGGGTGTATAAGTATGCAAAGAATTTCTTCACGAGTCATCCTTTGCTTTATTGCAACGCTGCTTACATGCTCCGTTTATTTCTTAAAGGAGAAAGGAAAAAAAATCCATTTATGTAATCAACCTTAGCATTGAAAAATTCTGTTCTAAAATAGTATCTTGAGTCTAGGCTACATATACGAATCTGCGTAGCCACACGTAAAAAGCAACACCGGCCATCAACTGCGTCTCAAAAATTCATACCTACACGACGACGCATACAAACGCACGTTCGTTCATCGCCGTCGTAAATGCTTATACACATACCTACGTGCCGGTCGACACGCTGCCGATGGCCATACACAACTCGGGTATGCGCTCATAGCTGGTGAGCCCCAGGGTTTCTTTTTTCTTTTTTTTTTTTTTTTTTTTTTTTTTTTTTTTTTTT